TGCGGGGCTTTTGAGGCTGTTGAAACTTTTCAGGGGTGCTCAAAATGTGCCACGTAGAAGTTTCGAAGCCCAATAGAAACAGCTTGTGGGGCTTCGGGAGGTCCCATGGCAAAGTAGGCGGGACGCCTTCGCAAGCTGCTGCGGACGGTGTTACGCTTCAAATGCCAAAGGCCTTCGAAAGCTGCTGCGCGGCTTTTGAGGCTTTTAAGATGTGCCCAAACGTGCCACGTAGCAGTTTCGAAGCCCAATAGAAACAGCTTGTGGGGCCTCGGCAGGTAGCTGAAAACGCGCCACGTAGCAGTTTCGAAGCCCAATAGAAACCGCTTGTGGGGCCTCGGGAGGCACCATGGCAAAGCACAAAGCAGGCACAGGGCCATGCCGCACACCTGCGGAGGGTTTTGCGGTTCAAAGGCCTTGGAAAGCTGCTGCGGAGCTTTTGAGACTGTTGAGGCTTTTCAGAGGTGCTCAAAATGTGCCACGTAGCAGTTTCGGAGCCCAATAGAAACAGCTTGTGGGGCCTCGGGAGGTAGCTGAAAACGTGCCACGTAGCAGTTTCGAAGCCCATAGAAACAGCTTGTGGACCTTGGGAGGTACCATGGCAAAGCAGGCGGGACGCCTTCGCAAGCTGCTGCGGAGGGTTTTGCGGTTCAAAGGCCTTCGAAAGCTGCTGCGGAGCTTTTGAGGCTTTTGAGGCTTTTAAGTGGTGCTCAAAACGTGCCACGTAGCAGTTTCGAAGCCCAATAGAAACAGCTTGTGGGGCCTCGGGAAGTAGCTGAAAACGTGCCACGGTAGCAGTTTCGAAGCCCAATAGAAACAGCTTGTGGGGCCGCGAGAGGTCCCATGGCAAAGCAGGAAGGACGCCTTCGCAAGCTGCTGCGGAGAATTTTGCGGTTCAAAGGCCTTCGAAAGCTGCTGCGGGGCTTTTGAGGCTTTTGAAGCTTTTAAGGGGTGCCCAAAACGTGCCCCACAAGCAGTTTCGAAGCCCAATAGAAACAGCTTGTGGGGCCTCGGGAGGTACCATGGCAAAGCACAAAGCAGGCACAGGGCCATGCCGCACACCTGCGGAGGGTTTTGCGGTTCAAAGGCCTTGGAAAGCTGCTGCGGAGCTTTTGAGGCTGTTGAGGCTTTTCAGAGGTGCTCAAAATGTGCCACGTAGCAGTTTCGAAGCCCAATAGAAACAGCTTGTGGGACCTCGGGAGGTAGCTGAAAACGTGCCACGTCGCAGTTTCGAAGCCCAATAGAAACAGCTTGTGGACCTTGGAGGTACCATGGCAAAGCAGGCGGGACGCCTTCGCAAGCTGCTGCGGAGGGTTTTGCGGTTCAAAGGCCTTCGAAAGCTGCTGCGGAGCTTTTGAGGCTTTTGAGGCTTTTAAGTGGTGCTCAAAACGTGCCACAGAGCAGTTTCGAAGCCCAATAGAAACAGCTTGTGGGGCCTCGGGAGGTAGCTGAAAATGTGCCACGTAGCAGTTTCGAAGCCCAATAGAAACAGCTTGTGGGGCCTCGCGAGGTCCCATGGCAAAGCAGGCGGGACGCCTTCGCAAGCTGCTGCGGAGTGTTTTGCGGTTCAAAGGCCTTCGAAAGCTGCTACGGTGTTTTTTTAGGCTTTTGATGCTTGTAAGTGGTGCTCAAAACGTGCCACGTAGCAGTTTCGAAGCCCAATAGAAACAGCTTGTGGGGCCTCGGGAAGTAGCTGAAAACGTGCCACGGTAGCAGTTTCGAAGCCCAATAGAAACAGCTTGTGGGGCCGCGAGAGGTCCCGTGGCAAAGCAGGAAGGACGCCTTCGCAAGCTGCTGCGGAGAATTTTGCGGTTCAAAGGCCTTCGAAAGCTGCTGCGGGGCTTTTGAGGCTTTTGAAGCTTTTAAGGGGTGCCCAAAACGTGCCCCACAAGCAGTTTCGAAGCCCAATAGAAACAGCTTGTGGGGCCTCGGGAGGTAGCTGAAAACGTGCCACGTAGCAGTTTGGCAAAGCACAAAGCAGGCACAGGGCCATGCCGCACACCTACGGTGATCCCGGGCGCCGCCCCGCCTAGGCCAAGGCTAGGCAGGGGCCGGCGGATTATTAACATTTGTGCTGGGTGTTTGGCGCAAAATGTTTGGTGCGTGACGCAGCGGTTGATGTAAAGACTGTTAAAGGAGTTGGGACGAGATGGGGGGGCCCGGCGAGGGCTAAAGCCCAAAGGCAGATGAATTATAGCTGCAACAAGATACAAATCAGAAATAAGAAATTCATCCAGGATATTGGGTAGGTTTGGAGGATTTTATACAGGCAGTTTGTGCCAAAACTGGTGGTGGACTGATTTGTTATTGCCTATGACATGTATGGTATGACCCCATTCTGAGCCCTGCCAATGGTTAGGCGCAGCGCGAGCCTTGCCCAGTGTTGGACACCAAACTGTCTTCGGACCTCGCTGTTTTCAAGGAGGTGCTGTTGGCTGTCCGATTTTGGAACCAACCATTTCATCCCATTTTGTCAAAAATGTTCCACAGAGCGGCCATGAGTTAAGGTATGACCATTTTGACACCCAATTGAAATCAAAATCTCATAGCGTTCTCGATAGTGCCTTGCAGATACCATTCTGTGCAGTTGCAACCCTGACCTGTGCAATTTGTCAGGTTGTCCTCAACAAGGTGTACCAGGACCGCAGTCCGGGAAATTGAACTGAAGCAAACTAAGTGGTCAAGATTTTTCGCCATTTCAAGTGTCCAATTGTCTTACAGCTGCAAGTGTGTCCCCATTTTGGCCGAGCGTTTCCGCAACGCTCAGGGCTTCAAGGGGCAAAACGGTCTGAGCAATTTCATTTCAACAGAGGAGGACATCCTCCTCGACATCGGAGGGACTCTCAACGGCCTGGGATGAAGGTCGATCCCACATTCAATTGGTTTCAAGTACCTAAACATGCACCAAATATGCGATGCATACGATGCATGCGCTTAGGGTGTAATCAAGGCATTTTTGCTACTCGTACTTGAGATGGCAACTGAAATTCCCAATGCTTGCTACAAAAAGAACATATTTAAAAAAACAGATAGTTAAATGTTGATGCTGGGACATGAACCTGATGAACCCAACTGACCCAACTCTTTCTTAGATTCTTGAGTGGCTTTAGTGGTTTTGGGAGCGACGAGGAATGTGGGGATGGCCACCTGGTTCTATTCGACTTTTGTGGGCATCCGAGAGGGAGATGTGTACGAACCCTCCAGAGGCTGTGTCTTATCTGCACTGTGAACACTCGACCTGCACTTCATCTTATTTTAAAGATCCTTTTGAACGTTGAGTCTAGCATGTTTGGCGTGTTTGGCCTGGCCAAGGTCACAATACGCTCCAGGCGCAACCGGAAACTTGTTCCAACCCTTGTGGTCTTGTGGACACTTTTCAGATCTGACCGGACTTCACACAGACTTTGAGAGTGTTCTTATCGCTTTGTCGGCAATCCCTGAGGATTTCAGCCACGTTTGTCCTGGTGACAGGACAACTTGGAACTGCTGAGAAAAACATCAAAAGGGAACTTCATCCTTCACAAGGTCAGCGGGAAGCTTTAGGCGACAGAATGGCGACTTGGCAGGCTCCAAATAGATTGGTGGACGAATGAAGAGATTTGGCAATGAGAACAAGAATGTTGATCCGAAACGAGTCGTTGAGAGTTTCCAGCTCCGCCTGTTGTCACAGCTCCGGCATTCTCGGGGGCCTTGTTTCTCAAAATGCAGAGGTGCCAGTGCCGCTCGCGCAGGAAGCTGTTGGCAAAGAAGACAAGACGGTGGTTTTCCTGGATCGCACCGACTGCGCCCAAGGCTGTCAGTCCAGGAACCACATCATCTCAGGTTGAAGGGTAATGGCCGGGTAATGGATTCAGTTCAGCTGTCCCAAATGTAGGTTTTGCATGGTTTCAGGCTTCAGTTTGGATGTCGATCATCCATTGTATTGAACCTGGCAGATTCACCATTGTCACATTGTTGTCACATTCCATGCATTCCAGGCGGATCGAGCCGGTCCGCGGTGAAGGAAGTGGCACCCGAGTCCCGGGCCAAACAGGCCCTTGAATACAAGGTCCCCCAAGTTTCCTTTCAGAATGCCTTGGAGAAGCATACCGTGGTCAAGATGGATTGTGAAGGCTCAGAGATTCCAATCTTGCTCACGGAATGGGATTGGAAGGAGGTCAGACTCCTGGTTGTGGAAATCTCGGTACGAAAACTGAGAATGGACCACCCCAAGGGTGATGGTTGGAAGGTCTTGGCAAAGATATTCGAAAATCTCAAGCAAGCTGGTTTCCAGTATGCGCGGGTCGAGAAGCGCTTCTTTACCCCAGGATACTGGGATCCCGAAAGTGGGAACAGAAATTACATGTCGGATGGCATCATATGGTTTCTCCGACCCAAGGCTCCAGTTGAGTTTAAGGACAGTGAGAGAGAGCTGTATTCTCACTGGCTGAATTACAAAAGAATCATGGAGACTGGTGGAGAGGTGGACAATGGTGCAAAACCCCTGGTTGTGGCTCCACCGGAAAAGAAAAGCCGAAATGTGGAGGAGCAAACTCTCATGGAGCATGCAACTCGACCGCACCTGCTGGGCTGGCTGTCAGAATGTGAAGGATGCCAGAGAGATGTGTGACTGTGATGTGCTTTCAGGTCAAGACTTGTACATATTTTCTGTTGATTTGTATGGAATATGACTCATGATATTTCCTTGGAGCTGACCAATTGCTGCCCAAGAAGCATTCACATTAGCACTGACATCAATTCAAGCATTGAGACGTGGTGTTCTTTGCAGCCAAGACCTTGAGCTCAGGTCCGGTCATTTTCCCCCGCCAAAAAGAGCCTTGGCTGCCCAGAACAATCGAATATTTTCCAATTTGAAGGTTGGGTAGGTTGTGTGCTCAGTTTTGGTTAGAAAAAATTGCGAGTCCGAACGTTGGGCCTATGGCATTTGTGTGGCATTTGTATAGCATTTGTTGGGTTGTCCAGCCGGGGGGCTGCAGTGTCAGGAAGAAAAAGCAGCGGTAGAC